TTTTGCAAACGGTGGGTGCACTGCCGTTGCGACAAAGAGGTACCGAAATCATACTACGAGTTTATGAGAAATAACCCGTGCCCGTGGTTTTGGTACATCTGTCCACTCTGTCGCCCTGGTGTAGTCACACAGAGCGTGTCTGCGGTTAGCAGAAACTTCACGCCGCCCTTGTGTCCCAACACGGTCTTATGTAGCTCCCCACCTGCTAACATCACCTTGCCAAAACTTGGCATAGACAGTAAGAAGGACACTCCAGTCCTACTGACCAAAAATGCCAATTTTCACAAGGTGAAGATTCACAAGGTTGGACCTAAAACATTAAGGAAAGATAGAGTTAGAGAAGCACCACTTGCATCCACAAGCAAGCTTGGAAACACAATAAAGGCTGGCCAGAACCCGATGAAGCCTAAAGTTGCTGATGCTGCACAGGAATACGAGAAGCCAAAGGCCAAACCTAAGTCTGAGGTTAATCGGCCTAATTCGTTCATCCTCTTTAACGTACCTGTGAGCAAGGACAGCTTGCTTGAACAGCGGGCTTTGTTTGATCAGGAACAGTGGTCCAACCTGTGCAATAAACTAGGTCTGAATATTAATTCAGTGAAATTGTGCAGGCTGTACAGGGGTGTCCACACACCTCAAGGTAAGCCACCCCCATTACGGGTTACACTGGACTCTGCCGAAGAGGCCGAAAAGGTACTATTGATGGCTCAGGTACTAGCCATCGACAGAAGCTCTAACATAAGGGTGAGACAAGACAGACCATGGGCTGTCAGACAAATGGCAAGGGAGTCACCGGAACTTTTGCCTTCCACCTCTATGGTAGTGCACGGTGTCCCGGAGCTGGAAACGGGCACTGCCTGTGAAAAACACACGCATGACGTACAGCGGTGGAGATGGCTGTCATCTCAGAGGGCCCTTGGCGCTTCTGGAGCCATCTCCATTTCCCGACTACCTCGCCCCGCTCATCTCACACTGATTAGCTCCCCAAAGCTGCTTAGTGTCACATTCAACTCCCCAGAGCAGTTGGCCATAACACTTTAACGGTGGTATGAGATCAAGGGGAAATTGGGAGGACACATCCGATGTTGCGAAAGCAGACCTCGAACCATAAGGAGGCAGCGAACGGAGGCTTTAATACGTCCCCAAGCTTCAGTGACACTCAAGCGATGCAGTTCTGAGAATAACAGTCTGTGCCACCCAAGTGTCCTGCCTAAATCCAAGGGAAAAAACCACAATGGGCCGGTTCCATCGGAACTGGCCAATTAGTCCCAACACTGAGTTCCCTACCAGCAGACAGCTTCACGTCAACTATCCCACAACACGCTGAGGTTGTAAGACTCACTGTCAGCTGCTTGTATAGCAATGTGAGGGGGCTGAGAGTAAAAATAGGTGAACTCCGAAATCTCCAAGCACACCTACAACTGAAAATAATAATTCTCACCGAAACATGGCTAACCCCCACTATCGCCGATAATGAAATCAGTATAGGTGATATGGTTTTGGTCAGGAGAGACAGGGGTAATAAGGAAGGAGGGGGAGTTGCCATATACTATGATAGGCAACTTAAATGTGTTCGCGCAACAGACCCACCACTTATTGAACTCCCAGACTCCATATGGTGTCATTTCACCGTAGGCCACACCAAGCATTTACTTGGTGGCATCTACCGATCTCCCACCTGTGGGGCAGAGCACAATCAGCTACTGCTCAGCACTATCACAGGGATACGAGACTTGGGCTATGACCAAATCACCATTGCTGGAGATTTCAATGCCCCATCACTGAACCTTGGCTCGGGGTATGCTAAGGGAAAATTCGGCCGAAATCTACTGCAAGCTATTCGGGACACGGGACTGACTGAGAATGTTGGAGACGACACTAGGTGGGGCCCTAGTGGAAAGTCATCAAAACTAGACTACATTCTAACTAGTGACCAACTACTCGTCGAAAAGGTCCAGGTCATGACTCCTCTAGGAAGTAGTGACCATGCAGTCATAGGTTTCGACCTCGTTCTCCGTGAGCACTTGCAGTGGGACGCTACGGAACCATGTCTGTGTTACAGCAAGGCTGACTACGCTGAAATGCGGAGGCTCTTGTCCGACGCAGACTGGCCCCTAGTATGGGATGAGCTGTCTGTGGATGAACACTGGGAAGCGGTAAAAAAGATTATTCATACAGCGATCTCGGATACCGTCCCTTTAGTCACAGCACAGCCCAAAAGAAAATCATCATGGTTAAAGAGAGGCACGCAGCGTATTCTGCAAGCAAAGAGGAAGGCTTGGTTTAAGTGGCGCGTATCTAAAAGCCATGATGCATACCTGGAACTCAGGAACCGGTGCAATGCAAGAGTCAGGAGGGACAGAAGGTCATTCCAGGCTAACCTTGCTAAAAATCTCCTGGCAAACCCGAAGAATTTGTACCGATTCATGTCGGAAAGGAAACCAACCAACCAAGGGGCTTGCGCCTTAGTAGGCCAAAACGGTCAATATCTCACTAGTCTGGAGATGGCTGAAACATTCAGTTTAGCCTTCGCCGAACAGCTAAACAGCAATGTGGGTATTACCGTTACGAACCAAAATGGTGGCATGACTATTTCACAGGAGGAAGACCAAATAGCCACCCCTCAAATGAACCCTGCAATAGTACTGAGAAAGCTGCAGCGACTCATACTTGGGAAGTCCCCAGGTTGTGACGACATCAGGCCATCTGTTCTAAAACAGTGCGCCGAAGCTCTCTGTAGGCCTTTATGCGACTTGTTCCAACACTCCATGGAATCGGGGAAACTGTCAAAGGAATGGAAAAGAAGCATCCTTTCTCCGATCTTCAAGGATGGGGATAGGCAAAATCCCACCAGTTATAGACCAGTAGCTCTACTCCCAGTGGTATCGAAAGTACTGGAAAGTATTAATGATGATCACATCAGGGAATATCTGGATAGGTTTAAAATACTCCATGAAGCTCAACACGGTTTCAGGAAAGGAAGATCCTGCGTCACTAACTTATTATCAGCTTGCGACGACTGGACATCATGCTGGTATATGAATGTTCCTGTCCATGTGATCTTTCTAGACTTTGAGAAGGCATTTGACACTGTTCACCATGACCTTCTCCTACACAAAATAAGCCAGGTAGGTCTAGGTAAACCACTTCTGTCACGGTTGAAGGACTACCTAACTGAAAGGCAATTTTGCACCAAGGTCAATCGAGTCCGATCATCTTGGCACAGCTCGTCATCAGGAGTGTCGCAGGGTTCTATCCTGGGACCACTGATGTTCTTGATTTTTATCAATGACTTACCATGCCGTCTAAACTGCCCGACTCTTCTATACGCTGATGACGTAAAGATATGGAGGGCGATAAAGTGTCCGGAGGACTCAGATAGACTGCAGGCAGATCTAAGGCTTCTGGAAGACTGGGCGGTAACCAGTGGAATGACTTTCAACCTGAAAAAGTGCAAAGTAGTGAAGTTACGCACCTGTAGACTGCAGAATGCAAGTTACACCCTGTGCAATGAAAGCTTGTCCTGCTCAACGTCGGAACGTGACTTAGGTCTAGTTCTAACGGAGAAAATGGACACAAGCGTGAATTACACGGGGGATGTAGCGAGGGCATATGCGGTCATACACTTTACACATAGACAGTTAGGTGCACTCACTCCTGAGCTCTTTCTAAGGTTGTATAAAACATACGCCAGACCGCATCTTGAAGTGCATAATATCATTGCACCCCCACTGCTTAAAAGAGGCGCCAACCTCTTGGAAAGAGTCCAACGAAGGGCAACAAAAGGAGTGGTTGGTCTCCGAAATAAACCATATGATGAAAGGCTGAAGAAATTAGGCCTATTCACACTCAGTTACCGTCGCCTTAGGGGGGATTTAATTACTGCCTACAAAATAACAAATGATCAGAACCACCCAAACAAAGGTGTTCTGCCGTTGAGTAGGTATAGGCTCCCTCGTGGAAATCCTAGAAGGATAGCTCATCAGAGGGCAAGGACCCGGGTGCGCTCCCACTTCTTTTCCCTGCGGGTTTGCCATCCCTGGAATTCCTTACCGGCAGATGTAGCTATGGCACCATCTGTGGACACCTTTAAGCGAAGGCTGTACAGCCATGCAGCGACACAAGGACTTCATCCAAATGGCCTATCCCCTTAAAATCGCATATACCATTCAAAGGTAGACAATTAAACTGGTCGTTTTACTTCTTCACATTCCCTTCAGTCTTACTCTCCTGACAGCTTTAATACACTTATTATTATTATTATCATTATTACTGGTATATATATATGTATACCGGTTGACTGACTGTTGGTACGTTTTCTTATTTTTTCTCTGTCTGTTAGTCTGAATACCTTTACTAATTCTATCTATTATTATTATTATTATCTCTTTTCCATTGACGACGATACCGAAAGACTAACTGGTGAAAGGATCAACTCAATTCACAGTAGTAACAGTCTTAACACACTTCATACTACAAACCCCATATAATTAATCCCAGCACTACTCCTGTTGGAGTCAACCAAAGCTACGACAGTCGAGTGGCGGGACGAGCTACACAGACGTTTACCAAAGATCAGGAACCTCTACCTCACAATCAAGAGGCGAGCACAAAGAAATCAAATAGGTTTATACTAGCTCGTAAAAACGATATTGGATATTGGATATGTTCCACTCGGAACTCAAGGGAATAATAATATAATACAAGAGCTACGACAGCTGGGTGGTGAGATGTACTACGCACAAGTTTGCCAGAGATCAGAAACCCTTACCTTGCAACTAAGAAGCTATCATGAAGAAACAAACCGAGTATACACTAGCTTGTAAAAACGATATTCAATATTGAAAGGTCAAACCTTTGGATATCTACACTCATTGTATATTTAACGACTAGTAACCTTTTTAAAACTAATGATGTATATTCGTCTCTGACTGATACATTTTTGACATTTTGGCTTATTTCAGGGGCCAAGGCAAACCAAAAATGAAATTTGTGCGAAATCATACTACACGCCTTATCGCACCATCTGAAGCATTTATTCTACTTCCAGAGAGGCTCTGTGACGTTCAAGTTCGTGGTGATGCCAGTGGAATTAGAGCAGAAGACTGCCTTTCTCAGCTAATTCTAAACCAGCTGAATAAGTTCAAGTACAATCTTGGCACAAGGCTTATTCCACTTAATTGGTTCAACCTACTTCTAGAACCACAAAAGATGGCATCGGTTGTTGCAGCTATTTTACCTATTGTTAGTGAATCGAATTTTAACGAAGAAAAGCTGATGAAAAGATGCGTAGTTGAAGTTTTTCCTAATATTTATCGATGGAATTTCAAACAACTACCAAACCTTCAAGTGGTTATAGTCGTTCCTTGGCCGGACCCATTATTTGACTTATTTGACAAAAATACTGTTAACTCTAGGACCTATTTTCAGGGCAAATCAGAAGATCTGATAACACTTGGAAAACTGTCTACATTTGGCAAGAGTTATTTCATCAATTTAAAAAACGTGCTGAATTTCGGGACAAAGGTACACCTGTGATTCATTAAATTTTGATATGGTTTTCTGATTTTTTTTCAGCATGTTTGCATTCTTGTTCACTTGTACTCTAGTCCTTTTGCACAGTGATAAATTTCGTATAGTCTGACACCTTTAACATATGACAAGCAGTGTGTCTTTCCGTTGAGATATTCTTTCATCAATTTGTAACATCTCTGTAGCTGACGAAATGTCTTTTAAATTTATTCCCCCTTGTGAATTTAAATAAGGCACAAGAGATAGTGTGTGCAGAGTAAGATGCTATCATCATTTATTTCGTTGGCCTCTTTACAGTTGCTTATAGCCGGAATATATAATTAAGTTTATGTAGTGACAATTTTTTAACATACTTACAAAGTTTACAAGATGGTAATTGACAGGAGGCTCCAAACTTAATAAACAGTGCTCAGAAAATTACAGTTATTTGGCTTTTAAACAGGAAATTCAATCATATATATAAAGCATATAAGTGTAATCTTCTGATCATTCTTTGAAACATTCTGTCAATTAACATCATGCATAATTTCTAGGTATGTTAAAAATTTTCTGTGCCTAGACTTAATAGTTTATTAAAGCCGTAAGCAGCTGATAGGAAGCCAACGAAATGGGTGATGGCATCATCTTATTCTGCGCAAACTGTTGTTCTTGCTTCATTCAAAATGTTTGTTGTCATATTCCGCTGAAAGGCATAAGTTAGGTTACATATTAGCCACTAAATAAATCCTAAATGTTTAAGAGGGTATGTGATGTCATTCATGAAAGGATGGATGAAATCATTTATTAATTGCACCTGACGTCAAACAGATGCCTACTGTAATTTATATTACTTACAATTAACATGTGTTGATGTATGATTACAAATGAAGGTGACTCCGGACAGACGAAGAGCTTTCAGAACGTTTTGTAGGGCATACTGTCTATTTTATTTTTCAACACAGCGGTTAGTTTGCTCGAAACAAGCCACTGAAGCTTAGTAAATTAGGATAGCACAAATATTCATCAAAGTCATAGGCATAATTTACCTTGGTTTTGGAGAACTTCCTGACGAAAAATCTCTGAATTCCTTGAATGACCGAAGTATTTGTGACTAATTTCAAAAGGAATGCATCGAATTAATAGATGCAAGTAATCGAATTCCAATGCCATTTGTTTAACATCTTTGAAATCTTATCCTCGTTCACTACAGATCAGTGTTTGATACGTTTATATTTACCGGTAGGGACACCTTTTTGTTGATATCTCAGTATTCTTAACTAACTTACAGAATGCTTTAGGAAAAGCAGGGTTGCTGCAAACCATAATTCAGAAGTTTTGTATTCATTAATTATGTGTTCTGACCCAAAAGGCTGCGAATCAGGACACTGTTACACCATATTAGAGAGATAAATTATGCCTTATAGCTATCATTCCAATAATTTTTTTAAAAGACCGTAATAAATGGAATTTCAGCTCATTCTTGATATGAAATCGCAACCTAAAATGAAAACAACTCGAAGGTGTATTCCGTGTTGATAGTTTTACTGAACTTAGAATGTCCCTTTAGATATTTCAACAACAAAAGGCTATTGATTTATGTTCATTTTTATAATTAATTGCTTATCGATAGCTTTACATGAGTTCGTAGCACCTTAAAAGGGCATACCATATATTAATTTATATTTGATTAGGTATTCGTTAATAACGTGTGTGCATCACAATTTTAAAGACAACTGATCGACTGACTCTAAAAGCCAATAGCTAGAGGTTATCGGTGATGCGGCTCAAAATCTGTGTTAATAACATAGATGTATTCTTTCTTCGTAAACTATCAGATCCATTAATTTCTTGTGTTTCTTCACGTTACTACTCTTTCTTCCTTATGTTTTCCGTCACTGCACTTCTTCTGAATCTTTCTGTTCATTTCTCCACCTTTGAGTACTATTTGGAGTGTGGAAACTTGAATTGCTGCACTTCTGTACAACCCTGCGTCTTGAAGCTCAGTCAGTTGGTCAGCGATTAGGTGAAACGTCATATTCTACAACTAACAAGTGTTAAATTATGTAGATAGTGTATTTACGGTAGGTGGAATGTAATAATAATAATTTGCTTTATTCCAAAACAGTGCTTGTGATACAGAATGGAATTCTCAGCATTTTTACTACAGTATTGCATCCAGTTAGTACATTATCAATAAATAGAATTCTACATAGATTAAGGAAATCTCAGTTCATTATTACAACAACACATTGGCATGTTGGTAGCATAGGTAAAGCTGAACAGTGTTTGAAGGTGTTAGAAAAGTAGGTGCTGTCATATTTACTGGCGTAAGCGAGAGAAAGAAGCAAAGCAGCACATAACGGAAAAAAGAGAGAGAGAAAAGGAAAAGAAAGAAAGAAGATGCTGTACCTATAAATGATATGAGTTGGAAAGACGAGATCCAGTTGTACTACTGACTGTTTATCGAATTATAGGTGTCACGCCTAATGCTTTCTTTATCGCACAGAACACGAGCTAAGTAGGATATGGTTGGTTTTTTGTACTTGCTAGTGCGAGCATATAGTTTCCTATATAAGCTTCTGGTTTTACCTGATGAGATGCAAGGGGAGAGTTGTGAGTGAAGGGGGTGGTGTGAGTTAGATAAAGTGGACTCAGCCCATTTTTCACATGAGTCCATGTGCCTGTCAACCAGAATATTAACAAGCTGGTTAAGTGGCACGTTGCTTACCCTGCTGACAACTTTTAACGTCCTGCGTAATAAGGTATAGTCTTTCTTCAGTAGCCCTGGAAAAACTAAGTAGGAACAATAGAGAATAATAGGCAGAATGCGAGAGTTAACGAATTGTAGGAGTAAGGGTTGGGTTATACCAGAATGTTTTAACTTCTTGATGTAGAAGGTAGAACGGAATATTTTCTTAAAAATCGCCAAGATATGAGACGAACAGGAGAGATCAGCAGATAGAATGACACCTAGATATTTAATTTCTGATTTGGTTCCTATTTCAGTGCCATCTATGTTGCATACCTCATGAGAGCCAAACAGTTTGTTTAGGTCGGATTTATGCCTAAAGGTGAAATTGACCGTTTGGCATTTGGAGGGGTTTAGGGTAAGACCATTTTCCTTGGACCACTGGCTGATTTCTGACAGAAAGCCATTAAGTTTAGAGCAGTCACTTTGATATTTGACAGGCAAAGATACAGTCAGGTATTCAGCATATTTAACAAAATTAATGTTATTTGAAGATGGTGAGTCATGTAGAAAGAAAGAAAAGAGAATAAGTATAAGAGCTTTGTTAATGCAGTTTCTGTTTCCATAACAAACTCACTACGCCATTTCGGAGGAGTCGTTTTAAAACTTGTCTGATAATGTCGAATAGTAAATTTATGTTTTAAGATGACTGCCTTGTTGAACCATTCTGCATATCTGTTTTTACTGAATAGTCAATAGGTAGTCCTCTAGTGGTCTGGAGCGTCAGATAGACTCATGAACTTGGGAGAATTGTGGTAGCTCTGTGGTCTGAAAATAGTTTAGGATGAAATTTGCATTTCAAAGGTACTATACTCAAAAGATGTCTCCATATTAGATAAGTTCCTTTGAAGTAATACACACTGACTGTACAGTATATTAATACATGGATGATTCGGTGATTCATCTTCTTCTACACTTAGCGTGATTAATTTATATTCGAATCTGAAAGGTCTACAATGGAACTTAATACTGATGTTAAGTATTAAGATAGCCCACACATCACTGTGTTCCTTAAGTCAACTACTGGCTTAATAATCTATCCTGATTTATGAACTTCACTAGTTCCTAAAGCTATACAAGGACTATTAGCTTCAGGCATTAGCTAAAATCACTTTTTATTCACCCAGAGATAACTTCTTTCAGTATACTAAATCAGCTGTAAAATTTTCTGATCTTGTTCATAGTCGTGTCGACAGGTTTCCTAATCTTCTCATATGCACCTGTTTGAATATGTTCATTGACCCTGTTGATAGAATCCAACCTGCTCATAACAACTGTTGAATGGTCGTTGCCTGGTTTAGCAATTATTATATTCCTTGTTTTCCCTCAAACATTTCAGTGTTGATATTTCCTGTCGTGATGAATTATTTTAAGCCCCGTTCCGATTTATAAGAATCAAAGCACGCTGTGCTTGAACTTTCTCAGTAGTTGCCTTCTCCATCGTCCTTAATGCTACTTCTATGATATGAATGACGTCCTCAGATCCACTGGTGATATTTCAAATGGAGCTAACTGGCAGAGTAGTTACTGTTCCTTCACTCTTAGAAAGATGGTTGATCTCTCAAAAGATCTATATTTTCCATTTTACTTTTGTCACCGACTTACATTTATCGTAAATTGCTAACGGAACGAAAATTTCGAAGTATATCTTTGGATCAACGCTTCACTTTTTTCCTATTATCTCTGAAGTATGTTATATGTTGTTTACTTTTCGGTGTCTTCTGAAAAATCTGTTCCTTAGCGGAATATATTTTTGTTCACAGTTCCACCGTGATTTTCCTGTCAGCATTAAGTAAAGATGCTGAAAAAATGTAGAATCTGCTGAACACCTTGTCACAGAAATGAAATTCACCAACTTCTAGACGAAAGGTAGGAAGTAAAGTAGTATGGCATGTTGACGATTTCACTTATTTGTGAAGTTGTATCAGCTTCAATGGACCGAGTGCTGACTAAATTCCAGCACAGCTACATAAGGTTCACATGGTATTTTCCAGCTTACACTATCTCTGGCGTAGACCTTATATCTCACTATTAATCAAAGTATCTGCATACTACGCACCAGTTCACTATGTCCTCCTTTAAAACTATGAGACATGGCCACTGAATGCGAAAGACCTGAAGAGGTTGGTTGTCTTTGGCCACAGACATTTGCTTTTTATCTCTCATATTAGGTGGTATAATGTGGTCAGTGATGTCGAGGTTAGGCATGGAGCATAAGGTAAGGAGGGTAAGTCATTCAATGAGATTGTTAGGACACATGTTACACGAACTGATATAACTCATGAAATATTTGACTGATCAACTGAGCCTTGTGGGGAGGTGTAGACTACCTATTTTGGTTCCTTCAGAAGCTGAGTACCAGTGGCTGGAAGGTGCTAGTGATAAATGTGAAGGCCTTCCGCCACAGCGTACTGTTTGAACTTCTAGATCCATCAAATTATTACTATTCTCCATGTAATTACTCTTTCTCCCTTAAGTTTTCATTTATTGTAATTTTTCGTGTATGTTTGTGCCATATGGAGCTAAGTGACTTAAACTGTTGCACTATTTTGCAATGTTCTATGTTGAGAATTCAGTAGGTTACGACAGCTTAGCGAATTCAGCTGTCAATTTGCTTCACTTAGTCTCACCAATGATTGTGGGACAGAAATTAAACATCCCAATGACTTTTATCGCAATCCCTTAAGTACATATTTACTTTTCATCCTTCTACAGATATATTTTGTACCTGATATTTTTCATCAATCAACAGCAGAATTAGCAATATCATTAATAACAACATTAAGTCGAGGTATATTTAAAGGTAAGATTTATTATATGGGACTGTTCTACATTTTTTTAAATTTTTAGTTCATAATTTACTTTCAATTTCATGCGAGTTTTAAAAAAATATAAATTTATTCACTGGTTGGTCGAGATGCGTAGAGTAAATAAACACATAAAGGTATGATTTAATTTAATTTTAGATTTTCTTGTCTATTGATTGGACCAAAGTGCCTCAGTGGGAACATCATCACTCACTGAGGAATGCAGGTACACCCAGTTGACGAGTCCCAAATAGGACGAAATGAGCATTATCCTGGATTCCACTGCTAGTCACCATCCACCAATTAACTTCCAAATACAAATACATGATATCAGGATTTGATTTATCGGTTACTTGATTACTTCAGGTATGATCACATACTTACTCCAGATAGAGATCCATTGAGAACACTTGTTTCGTCCTTGTTTGGGATTCTTCAGTAAAACTTATTATTAGGAGGGACAATCTATCGTTGTAAGCCGTGAAGTCAGAATTGATGCATCCTCTGACGTTATAAACTCGGTGGACAGTTTTTGATTGGCCTGGTTTTTGGCTTGAATTTCCGAGGTTCTGTAAACTCTGCATTCTGAATAATAAAAAGGTTTTCGCTGTTTTCAGTGTTGCTTTCGTAGTTAAATCTGATTTTTGTGTCTATCTAAGTGTGGGAAATATTTTCAAGTGATAAGTTAGTCATAGTGTCGTGTCTTGAGGAGCATTCTAGCATTCGGGTCTGAGGACAAATAATGGCCGAAGACATTGGTTAGAGGTTGCTCTATGTCGTGAATTGCCAGAAGTTGGAATTCATGGGTTGGCCATTGGATCGGGTCCCAGTGGCTGAATGGTACACGAGCTCACCTTGTAACCAGAAGATCTTGGGCTCGAACCCCGGTGGGCACGCACAGTGAAGAGTCTCAAACTAGGACGAAACAGCTGTCCAGTACTCCCTGAAGGTTTCTCAATTGTTCTTTAACCGATGTCAGCTCACGATGAAATCCTGTAACCAATCAATCAAATCCCTATAAACCAATACTTGAAAAACATTCTAGTCAAGTTAGACGACAACTAAAAATCAGTAATCCCCCGTTTTAACACGTACCGATAACTCCACCGCTACAGGTCGAAGCCAGGACCTTCAAGTTACAAGGCGAAATGTTATACCATTCGGTCACTTGGACAGAATCCAATGGCTTGCTTATCCATTCTAAATTTTGCCATCTCGCGATATATAGCTAGACCGTCACTCACTGTCATCGGTAAATACCTGTCCTTACGCTCAACTTGATTGCTACTGTCCTGCTCTAGACAGCCGAAGCGCAACTGCAAAAAAACAGAAACAACCAACTTCGTCTTCAAGATAAATTGCAAAAACTATGGAAACATTATTAAATTAGTCAAAATGGAGGTTCTTGTCTCTTTTCGTATCCACGATCATGATCTCCATTTCTTCCACTTAAAGCATGGACACCAAGTGAACTGGGAAAATGTAGAAATTCTAGATACTGGGATCAACATAAATGCCAGGGAACTTCTAGTGCATCTGGTACTGACATCAATCTACAATCAAAGGACATAGTTACATAGATCAAACTTTTCATTTAATAAAGAATGAGACATATGATAAAAAGAGTCAAATTCCATGTCAGGAGAGACAAATTTACCATTCATAGACAATTCGGATAAATTCACTTCCCGTTGGAGTTTTCACTAATGTAATGTTGTCTAGATAGACAAAGAAAGCTTCGCAAACAAACCATTCAGCTGAGAGAACAAAAGTTTACTGGGAATATTGATCTTATTACAAACCATGGAGCTCTTTGGTCGACTACTTTGTCCTATTTTGGGATCGTTCATCAACTTTATTGCATAAAACCGCTATCTGACGTCAAAATGAATCATCAGTATTGTAAATGATTACAGTTGCTAAATGTAAAATTTTTAAAAACTACCGGCGTGAACACAGAATATTCTTTCCGATAACTTCTTCTTACTACCCAGGTTCTACAGTCATATATCCATAATAGTTTTAAAAAAGGAATTGTCATTAAGATCAACAGATTACAGCTGAAAACACTAGAATGAATATCAGATAAATTAGGAGAAATGTTACAGAATTTATGAGGTTGTAGAGTGACGACAGGTCAGGGTAGCAATAGTGATTAGACCTGTTTCTTCTGTACACAAATTTGCGGTTGTTTTAAGGGGATTGTTATGATTCTCACTGTTTAGCGTATCCTGTATTTAGAAGCTTTTGGCAATTTATTCAGTGTCTGATAGATGATAGAAAAAGACTCTTCGATGATTGCCTTGTGGCCTGTTTGAACGAGGTGATATAATATCGAATTGCTGATGGTTTTGACTATATCTTTATTTAGCCACATTGGTACGCGTCCCCTAACCTGAAAAATTAGGATTCTAGACCAACAGCTTATATAAGTAGCTTCAAAGGAATAGTTATATTGAGAGTAGCGGGTGGCTAGTCTAAGTACTACTGTGATGACAGAAGACAAGAGTCAGGCAACAGATTGTTTATTGAGAAAATCAACAGATACTTATAGATTTTAATGTACATTATTATTCGTTATTACTAGCAGAGAAATATCGTCTTCTGATTGGTTGTTTTCTCGCTGAAAGTTAATCTGTCATTTCTTTGTTGCTGTTTCTTTGATGATCAGACCATATATCTGCGAATCGTATCCGCCCACGCATAGTTTCTGTTCTTCTTTTTTTCTGATCACCAAGATTTGGGAAGTAAACATTGACGTAAATTGTTGTCTACCAATTTTGGCTAGCAGACAGCTCTCACCACACTTCGTCTTCCAGTTTCGGAACCACAACCGGTTATATGAAAAATGTTAGTTGCAGCTTACCAGAGTTAAACTTTCTTTGAATCGCTTTGCTCAACTTGTTGGCTATTGTTTTGCTTGTTATATCACCTTTGAATTGTAGTTGAATTGTAGATATATACTGGCTTCTTGTGAGCAGATACTCTCTTGGCTATGTGTTTCATGATGAACTCTTCGGGGTGACTGTTTTCAATTAACGTGTCGTATACAACCTTAAATTCGCCTTCAATCGCATCTTCTGAACAAATAACTATGACCTTATGACCGAGAGTCTTTATCAAATTTCTTTTATACAGGAAAGGAATGAAACTGTGGAAATGTGTATACTGACCTGCCCAAATACTTTCCTCATGCTAATTCCTTTTTATGCTACCATCTGGTCGTCTTGTCAGTACGATATCAAAGAAGGCAATTTCGCTTTGAGACTCTTCTTCGCACGTGAATTCGATGGCTGAATGTACTTCAATGAATTGAGATATTCTTGTTATTTTGTCCATATCATTTTCATGAAGGATAAAAGCATCATACAGCTACCATTGTGGTGAGAGCTTTCTGCTAGCCAAATCGGTAGACTGTAATTTATGTCAATAATTAAGTCCCAAATATAGGTCACGTGAAAACAAGAAAAAAGACTGACTCAACAACCAATCATAGAAGACTTAGCGTAGGCGGGTACAATTAGCAGATAGATGATCTGACCTTCAAGAAACAGCCATAAAGAGATGAAAGATTAACTTTGCGTGAGAAACAACCAATCAGAAGACTGTGTTTGTCTGCTAACAATAATCTATAATAATGTAAATGAAAATATATAAATATCTGTTGATTTCCCAAATAAACGATCTGTTGCCTGACCCAGTGAAACTACCCACCTCATAGCCAACAGCTTAGGTACACTCTCCTCTCAGGCGGTCACTCTGTAGAACCTCAGAAATAACCTGTCATTACCGACATTGTCAACCGAAGCGTGTGTTCTCTGGTGCACGGACACAGTCCTCCATCTGACTGCGACCTATCGGACCAAGTCAACCACACATGCCAGTGGATCCCGTTGTCGATCAATGAGCCTCGATCCAACACGTCAACTCTTTGACGTCATGATCGACCTGACACCGACTCTCCTCTTAATCTCCACCACAGCTCGGCTCAACTCTGCGTCACCATCACCAATCACAATAGACACCGTTCTACACCCACCCACCCAACCACCGAATTAGCCTTCTCACCTGAAGTGCAGACGATGACTGCATTACATATAGCGAGTCAATGTCCTCGCATCTCTCTCCACGTCTGTCTGCCTCTCTTTCAGTGTGTGTCTCTTCTATTCAGTGTTCGTGAGTGTGCTTGTTCGTGTATGTAATTGTTGGTTTGCATATAAATTGGTTTTGTGATTGACAGATGAGTGAGTGTGTGAGTGCGTCATCGAGTGAGAGACTTGGTGTGATTGTGAATGTGATAGTGAGTGTGTGTGTGTGTGTGCCTGACCCTTGTCGTCTGTCGTTACACCATTACTGCCCTGACTTACTGTGGAAAACTCAAAAATTCAGTATTATTATAATAATTATTATTGTTCTTTATTCAATAATCAGTCTTTTAAAGAAAATTTTCTTCACTAAATTCTTTGTTTGCAATAATCAGTGATTTTAGAAAGGTTTGATTATAAGACTTTTATTCATAATCCGCATATATATGTTTTCCATTTAAAAACAAATTCATTTAGACACAAATGAACTATTTCAAAAATGGTTGCTAACACAACAAACGAATTCAATGTCCAATATTAACAATTATCCAATGATATCATACATGTTATTACATAAAAATGATAATTCACTAATACGACGATTATCATTGAAATTGAAAAAGTTTACTAATTTAAATGATTATAAACAGTTTACTACAAGAAGAAGAAGAAAATGGATTTATATGAGACAGAAGAAAACGACTTCTCCTTCAGCTGATCTTCTTCCTCGTCGTCGACCTACGACTACTACTGCTGATCATTCTAAAGATTATGAAACGATGGTAACGAGAAGAAATACTCTGCCGGAAATAACATCACCACTGGTCAATATTCAAAATTCTCCATTTCAGCTATGTAAACAAATTAAAGGATCAAGAATTGGTTTGATTGGTTTAATGAATGAAACATCGAAACAGATAGCATTGATTGCCCAATCAGGTTTAGGCATGGAAGTGAGTTATTATCAAAAGCATCCATTGTAAGTTAGCGAAGCGTAAAAGTGTTTTTTTTGAAAAATTTATCACATGTAAAGCCTGTTTCTTTTTGTTATTATTCTAATGTGTTGTGTATGATTAATCTAAAGCTACTCTCAGATCCTGTGGTAGGTTTGGATTGAACTCTTGGCCGACAAACTCTTAAATATCAATAGTTGGTTTGAAAGAATTAGATTTGTTTTGACGAGTTGATCACGGATTGATATCTGTTAGAGAACCATTGAAAACCACTACTAGAGTACTGGATAGCTGTTTCATCCTAGTTTGGGAATCATCAGCAGTACGCACCCACTGGGGTTCGAATCCAGGACCTTCCGGTTACAAGGCAAGCTCTTATACCATTCAGTCTCTGGAACCTGACTCAGTGTCCAGCACATGAATTCTAGCTTCTACCAATTCATGAATTTAGCGCGACCACCAGCCAATGTCATCGAATGGAAGTCCATCCTCACTCCCGACTAGATGGAGCCAGCTAGTCACGACTTCTCACTAGAACTCTCTAGGAAACTCCGTCCTGTAGCCAGTCACTAGCGAGTATCAGATTAATCTCCAAGAGTTGATTTGTAACGATTTGATTTGCTTTTTTGATTTGATGATCCCCAAAACTCGGATGAAATAGCTGTCCAGTTCTCCCTAGCGGTTTTCAGTGGTTCTCTAACTGATATCAGTCCATAGTCAAACTCGAAAAACAAATCAAATGCTTACAAATCAACTCTTGAGTATCGGTTTTTAAAAAAAAGTTTATTTTCCTACCGAGTGGAACCTAAGGCTTCTAGACTCAAGCTTAAGACTTTGCCCATTTATCGGGATTAATATCGCCTAAAAGGGATATTGATCTGTATCAATTTAGAGTCGGACTAAGTCCTCACGTATGGTTGGCGGGCGTTCTACCGTTGAACCACTGATGCATATTATTCTCAACACATAACAAAGAAATGTGCGTTAGTGGCACAGCGGTAGGATGCTCGCCTACCACACAGGTGGTTCGGGGTTCGATCCCTGGCCACAGACTCACTGATTTACCTCGCTAAGCCAGTAATAAGGCGGGTAAATAGGGAAGGTTGGGCATGAGGCTAGCAACCCTATCCCGTTAAAAAAAAATAAACACCACTGCTATCGAAACTTCAAGTTTCTAGCTTGAAGCCCTCCCTATGTTCCACTGGGAACGTAAAGGAATAAAAAAATAAAATAAAGAAATAAATAATCAACCAGATTTCCTTTCTTCTCATTTACTTTACAAATTATTATTACCTTTTAATGTTTTTTCATTGTTTTTCTTCTAAAATTTCTTCAAAAAGACCATATACTACTTACAAATATTATAAGTATCTTGAAGATTTACTCGGAATGAATGATTATATTATATTAGCTGATGATACAGTTAATCAATCAATTCCATGGTGTTTAAATACCCCTGTGGTGGATAAAAATACAACCAATAAAGCTGTTGAATATAAAATAAAACCAAAATTATGGTTAAGTACAGAACAGTTGAAATATTGTAATAAAGAGGCACTTTTAATTTCAGTGACATCTAGTAAGTTATCTTTGATGTTGTTATTGTTATTATTAGTGTTTTTAAAATTTCTTTTTCCATTTATTTATTTATTTTTATCTCCAAATTAGATAAACTAGGATGAAATAGCTATCTGATTTTCAGAGATTCTCCAACTGATATCATTTAGTAAGGGAATCCCTATCATATTACACTATTGTTCGACTCTTGAATTCTGAATATGTTCCATAGGGCTTTAGGAGTGCGTTTACATTTCACTCGATTCTGTGGTATCACATTCAGCCGGTTGGAGGACTGCCCATAAGCTCTAACTTTCAACTTCTTACATAGTCTTATCTGCATCGTTATTGGACAACCAACGCATCACCTGCATTCAGTTTCTGCACTCCTTAACCTGTGTCCAAACCATCCCCACTCCCTTCTGCATATATCTGAGGCGATCGATTTCTTTTGAGTTGGTTCTTTGCTACAGTTTCTTCCTGCTTGTCATTTCTGGTAGGGTATGTTACCTTCAGTATCAAGTAAAGAAGATAGGTGTTGACGAATGTTAGCACCAACCCGTTGAAAATGCTTTTGGAGATGCCGCAAGACTTTGAACTATACAGAAGCGTTGACTTGACAGTCATGTTGAAAATTCAGATCTTGGCGCATGAAAAGAATGTTGTAGATTCCTACATTTATTGAAGTAATGAACCCCCACTACTCTTTTCCTCTCATATTCTACCTCACACCTTTGCTGACTGCCTGTAGTCAGAGCTATAATGTCCAGAAAAGTGAAGGAAACAATTTCTTTTAGATTTCGCCAGTTTATGGTGATAGTGGCTTGTTTTTGGTTGGGTGCCTTCATCTCCTCAATCGTTTGTATTTTCACTTAAAATCTTGTCTCCATTGCTTTCTGGGCTAAAATGTTGGTTTTTGTCCGTAAATCTTTGGGTTTGTGATACACGAGACTTAAATCATCTACGAAATTAAGTCTTTTTGTCTGTCCAATATATTCCCTTCTTTTCTCTCCACATGAATTGTCGCGTGATCCAGTCCAAAACAGATAGAAAGATTACTGCAATATCCTGAATCTGAAAATAGAAAAGCTGATTTTTGTGTAAATGGAAATTCTCATAAATCCACAATCATGGAACATGTAATTTATTGTGTTACCGAATGCTGGCATCCGGTAGCTTGATATTTTTCAGGTTATGTTCATTCCTTATTATATGACAACTAATCTTGAGATCCTGATCTAAGAATAGTGAGTGGTGATCTATTCTAACACAGTGCTAAAGTTTTACACTTAAATTAATGAATGACGATCTCCTAATGTATACCTACATATTTGCGATACGACACAATGACCATTCACTTCACATCTCGTCCCATTTAGTTTGTGAAAAAATCTGCAATGAAATGTTTTCAATTTCTGAAAAGCCAAAATCTAAGTTTCACCGATGTATTATGGGAAAGACTGCACTAATCAAATTAAATTAAAATTCGTACAGTGGTTTTTTCTGAGCTTCAGTGGTTTCTTAACTAACTAGTAGGAATATGGTTTTACCTTCATTGGTGCCAGAAAGTGCCGTGTGTCATGTATCTTGTCATTTGTCGTGCTAACTGTACTGTATCAAGTAGAGTTTGTAATGTAATTACGAAGTCAGGAGGCTCTTCCTCACTGTACAATTTCAATTGTTACTTTCTGAAGGCTCTTTTGACACAGAATAAGTAAATGTTAGATGATATTTAATAACAATAATAATGTGCGTCGGTGGTACAGCCGTAGAGCTCTGGCCAATCATGGGCGTGGTCCGGGGTTCGAGTCCAGACCAGCGAACACATTTACTTCTCTTAGCCGGTTACAATCCCGACAAAGAGGGAAGGTTAGGTGTGAAGATACAAACCACTTCTACTGAGAATCCAAAGTGCCAGCTTGAAGCCCTATGTTCCACTGGGAATGCAAAGGAATAAAAAAATCTTTATTCCAAAATAGTAATTATAATATAGAATGGAATTTTCAGAATTTGTTACGATTTTGCATCTGATATACTCAAAATACAAATAAAAAGGACCACAGGAATTTGTCCACATTTACGGTACAAACTCAAAAATATTCAAAGCACAAAATGATAATAATAAATTTAATAATAATAATAACAGTGGGTTTGTTTCAAACAGTATTGTCGATACAGTTATAGATTATTGAATCTAATGTTCTTATTGATATAGTGTGGTAAGGGGAAAGACAAAAAATAACAGTTATTACACAGCCTAAATGATGTTTACGCTTATGAGAAAATAAACAGCAAAAATATTGAGAAAATTATAAATATAAGGAGAACAATAACAATAAAGCTTGGTGGAATAAGGGTGGAGAAAATGGTTTATTTACTACTAGAAAGAAGGTTAGTTAGTCCATCCCTGACACTGTTTTCATCACATAAAATATGTGCCAAATACGGCATAGTGGAATTTTTAAGCTTTAACTCGCATGAATAAAGTCTTTTGAAATGACTTCTTGTTTTGCCTGAGGAGACACAAGGTGAAAGCTGAGGGTGCTGCGGTGGATGCTCACAGACTGACGAAATCCCTCTAGCGAATTTGTTGCATAAAATCAAATGCCTATCATCAATGACGATGTCAAAGATATGGCCCAATGGGATAGCACCACTCACCCTACAGCCTGACAGTTTTCAAAGTTGTACGAAGTACGACAGTTTTTTAAGCAATCCTGGAAAGAATAAGGATGAACAGTAAAGATGAATAAGTCAGACGAAATATTTATCAAATAGATGTCGCATTCACTCACCGAGTATTCACCAACCAGGCCTTATTACTGTTTGTTTTTGATATTAAATGGCATCAAATTAGATTCAGATTTATCTTGACACTTAGTTTCTGTAGACTTATGAACGTGTTATCAGTTAACTTTCGTGTAAATAATAGATAGTCGAGTTAAAATGAACTTCTTTTTGTGATCACCAACTGTTTGTTTAAAAAAGACTGAATATAGTCATGCATAAAACGAGTCACTAATGAATTTCAATGTACTCAGTTTCATTAATTCACTTTCACCACTGAAGAGTTTCTACGGCACTTCTAATGGAAACTCCTTACAGACTATAATGGTTAGTTGACGTAAAGTTTTGTTTTAAAATGTTAATTTTCAGGTTCTTGATTGGTTTCGACGAATTGACGCCTCAGTTTTGGGGGACCTCTGAAGACTAGGGAGCACTTACCGGACATCTGCTTTGTCTTAGGTTTAGACTTTTTAGCGGTATGCATTCATGACAGCACTCATCTGGGATTGAATCGACTAAGAGATCAATCAATTCCCTGAAAATTAGCATTTAAAAGCTAATCGAATGCTCACTTGGTGACTGAGTACAGGACGAATTTGGCTAGAATTCTGGTGAGGAATCATAATCAGTGGGGTTCACCAAGTCGGACGTGAGAAGAAATAGTTAACGATGTCATTGGTTTGCTGTAACGTTAAAAATAGTGTGTTGGCAGAGAGTGGAATTCATGGGTTGTTCGATTCCGTCCCAGTGGCTGGATAGTCAGCGAAATGGCCTCGGTTCGATCCGTGATAAGGTCTTGAGTTTGTACTGCTGAAGAGTCTGAAAATTGGACTGGGGTTTCCGCTGATTCTCTAACTGATATCATTTCAACTCACAGAATATATTTATTTATTTTATTTTATTTTTTATTTTGATTACAGCTTGATTCCACACCGTATTTTCAGTACAAGTATGGAATTTTCAGCATGGGTGTCGGTAGCCCAAATTTTGCAGGCCGACCATAGACATCAGGTGTGCGTCTGCAGGGGATCGAACCCCGGACCATGTGCATGGTCGGTGAGAGTCCTAACCACTGTGCCACCGACGCACACACATTTGATCATAGAGAATAATAAAAGGACGGTTGCAGCGAAGAAAATTTTCTTTTTGACGAAGTCATCAACTAGGTAGCTGTACATTCGTGTATTTATAATAAATGGGTTGGAAAGTTCCTGAATAATTTCCGGTCAAGGGTCAAATTAGTAAAATTACAATTAGGAATTAAAATGCCATCATAAACAGGAGGAGGGACGGATAAAACTCCAACAAAGTAGCATCATTATTACTGGGAAGATTGACATAATGTGCAATTAAGGGTTAGAAATGTAGAAATAACAAAAATAGACAGGATGTTTGGATAAAAAATTAATGTGACGAATAATTGTTTACGCAATCAGGGATTAAATATGTAGAAAAAATAAAATGACAAAAAAAAACAAGAAGTTCGGATATGAAAATGTGGTAGTGTAAATAGGGATTAGGAAAAAATTAAAAATAACATGAATGAACAGGAAGTTTGGATAAGAAAGGCAAAGGGATCGTCATTACTAAAAGAATTACCTGTTTATAATGGCGATGGTAGGGAAAACGGTAAGACGTATTTCTTTTGGATGCAAAGCGTGAGTTTGAGCTTTTGGATAGCTAATGCCTCGGCTATGCCCAGATGTCTTAATTTTACTCCTTTTGATAAGTTTGATCGAATCTTCTATATTATTTTGAAGGATTTTGCGAATAGAGCTGATTGTCCCGAGTTGACCAATGTCTATCAAACATTTCAACCACCCCTCGTGCCCACACATACTCCAAAAAACAATTTTTATTTAAATCAAATGTTTTTTCCGTTTTTCTTTTTGTTCTCAAAGGTCAATGTATCGATTTTACAGCGCTTTCCTTAGCTCTACGATATCGTCAGTTAGGTGGTGCAGGAATCACCATCCCAACAAAATGGTTTACACATATGAATGAAATAAATGTATTAAAAAATTTACCGAATACATTTATCCTACCACCAGCAACAAGTTCTGCTTGCTCAAATCCAACCCTCCGTATTGCTTTAGTCCATGAAATTATTAACTTGATTGTTATGAATTTACATAAAGATGCAGCAATGAAAGGCGAAAAGATGACACCGTTAGATCAAACACTATTCAAAGTTAAAGAAGAATATGTTGGAAGAAAAAGATTCAGCAGAATGAAGATGAAGAAGCCATTAGTTCTTAATAGTTTAAAACGGAGATTTAGTCAACGATATAGAGAATAATAGCTCTCCTCCAACGCAAACACAAATCCACAAAAGTTTAAAAACTCTGTGGGGACCATTAAAATGGTTTAAAAAAAGGATACTTTCTTACATTCGATGACCTCATGGTGGTAAATACGGAGGTACTCGAATGAATGTATACATCGATATATACATATATGTCATTTCTAACATTGAAATACTCCTTAAACTATTTACTCTGTCAATATGTACAGTTTAAATAATTATAATACTGTATCTGTGGAATGGTATAGTTCACCTTCCTCTTTTTGCAGTGAAAGTTATTCAGATAATCATTGAAACTATTGATCGATTGTTCACTACGGAGTAATCAATGTCATATGTCTGTGTAGTCCTAGTTGTTGTTGCTATTGGTCATGGTGCTGACTAAAATGGAACAATTACGTTTACAATGTGTTCACAGACTACCAAACTTGACGACGTGATATGCCCTTCCTATGCTCTTTGGACTAACGTTAAATGAATGAAGACAATCAATGGGAAGCTCGACTTGATCCATTTCATCTTAAATTCATACTTTTCAACAAGTTAGAAACTTCAGCTCAGAGTTATTTTGGTCTACAACTTATCTCCTGTGTGCGTGTGGTTCACTGGTAGAATACTAGCTAACCGAGGAGAAGAAGAAGGGTCTGGTTCGAATCCAAGCCAAAGCTCTCCAAAATTTTCGTCTACTTTACTAGTCAGTTTGGACGAGAGAGGCTAGCAACCTCACCATACCGTCGCCAGTGAAACTTCAAAGCCTGAACAGCTATGTTCCACTTGGAAAGAAAAACAACCTAATCAATAAGAATTAACGTACTGTAAGAGGATATTGAATACAGTGATTGGTTACTAGTTAGGTGATCACACTGCAAATACTATTAAAAACGAAGTTCAGTTACTGTACACCTTGAATTCGATTAACACACTGAATTAATTTATTGGGAAAAAGTTACGGATATTCATAAATTTATAGCAGTTGTGCTATACGGGTATATAACAATAACTGGCGTTTTACTTTGAAAATGTGCTCACGTTACCATTTCTGTGATTACTCATTACACTCAGATATTACTAAGTGTTTGGTAATAATGTGTTTGTGGTATGATTATTATTAGTAGTAGTAATGGTATTCCCTTGGGTTCTGAGTGGAACATACAACTTCAACAACACATCTTCACTTTCTTCTATTTTCTGCTCTCCTCATCACCTGGATCCATGTTCACCCACAATCTGTCATGTCCTCCTCCTCCTCCTCCTAACCAAACGATCTCCTACTTATCTGTCACTTTCATGTATAGATGAATCTTTTTCAAATAAGTAGGAAACGTTATGTTTCACTATGTTATATATCTGAGAAATGATGAGTAACTCAGTTTGATTTCATCAACTCCTAAAATGGCTGCAATTTAGTTTTTAAAATATGGAAATAGTTTAGTGTTCTCTTCTTCATCCCTCGCCCCCTATAAAAAGCACAACAACAATAAAATCAACGCAAATTTGAAGGAAATAGCTTGCCCAAGATGTTCAGGGTGAATGATTTTACTGGTAGCTTTGTAAGAAATTATGTTTAGGAGAGGGGGAAAATCAGCGACATACGGACTTCACCTGCCGGCGGAATGCATGAAGATGTCAAAACTAGCCAGCCAGAATAGGAAAGGCGATATACGGCTTCATCAACCTGAAACTAGTTTGCAAATCTCCTGCACTCCATCTCAAAATAAAGAGCAAGATTCTGATTTTCAATAGAAATGTGAAGTCAGTCACTACTTCTATGTGTGTCACGAAAAGGATTTCCAGTCAACCACTGCAGGCTTTTATCAGCAACTGCCACTTTCGCTGGCTTGCTCCCAATTGAGTTTCAAATGGTCAGCTGGCCAGAAGGAATTAGCAACAAGAAACTCTGGCTGGCTGGGAAAAAACCAACTGGCGAGAGCTGATCATCCAACAATTAAGAAGGAGAAAATAAAGATGGGTGGATCGAGCATTGGTTGAGGAAACCATCGAATGACATAGCCCGCCGGGCCTTTCAGTGGAATCGCAATGGGAAGCGATGAGTGGGTTGTCAGTGTGAGGGTGACATGAAGGAAATCGGTTGGTTAGGAGGATGAGTAGGAGGATATGAGAGATTATCGTCAATCGTGGCCTCAGCTGTGTAGAGGATGTCAGAAAATAGAAGAAAGTGAAGATGTGTTGTTGAAGCCCTGTGTTCCACTCGGAACCCAAGAGAACAATAATATAATAATAATAGAAATTTCTCTCTACGCATAGGGAATTCATTTTTTAAAGGTTCTATGCATCTGAAGTGAAGCCGACGAAATATAATGATGGCATCATCTTATTCCTCACAAACTGTCCTTTTTCCTCTATTCATGCAAACGAAGATACCTAGCCAACAACAGCACTAACAAACACCAATCACCATGCACAGGAGAAATTTGAAAGAAGTAACCTCATTCACTTATCCAGGAAGCATCATTCAAACTACAGACGGTATGGATAAGGATGTCAAATGTAGGATAAAGAAAAGCAGTACAAACCCTCACTAATCTGCTGCATTCAATGTGTAAGGAGCAAGATTTAGATTTACAACACAAATGTTAAATTAGTCAGTCCTTCTACAGTATTATTCAGAGACTTGATGAATCATGAAAAACAATTCCAATAGATTGGTTTTAGGATTTCATCATGAACATTGGTTAAACAACCATTGGAAAACCTGAGAGCACTGGGCAGCTGTTTCTTCCTAGTTTGGGACTCTTCGGCAGTACCTACTCACCGGGGCTCGAACCCATTGGATCGGGTCCCAGTGGCTTATGTTATACGAGCTAGCCTTGTAACCAGAAAGTCCTGGGTTCGAGCCCCGGTGGGTGCGTACTGATGACGAGTCCCAAAGTAGCACGAAACAGCTGTCCAGTACTCCCTGCAGGTTTTCCAATGGTTCTCTAACCAATGTCAGCTCATGATGAAAACCTGAAACTAATCAATCAAATCCCTACAAACCAATACTTAAATTCCAATAGACTTCAAGCGCCAACATCTTCGCTTTCACTCCATACTCTGTGAAGATCAAATGTGCAGTTAAAAAGGATAAGAAATAGGGAACTCTTGAAGGAAATCAACTGAGAACTTTTTACCCAACAAATATACCGAAGAAAATTGGAGATGGCTTGCCTACACTCTGAGGAGATCATTGAGGATACCATGCACCAGGACCTCAAGTAGAACCGGAATGGTTAATGACCAGTTGGAAACTAGTTCAAAGATAACACAGAGAAAATTTAGTCGGCAGTGGGGGGGGGGCAAATGAATGCAGATGTTCTGTTGAAGCTCTATGTTTCACTCGGAACCCAAGAGAACTCTATCTAATATCATCAAATCAATGTGCACCGTGATGGCAAGCTACCTAGAATGGTGGCCACATTGCAAACCTGACTGACTGATTGAATTCACTCTGCACCAAAGAGAAAGGACTAGACACATCACACTGGTTACTCACTAGTGTCCAATCATAGTACCCACTATAGTCCTACAGGAGGTCAATTGCGAGCCCGAATAGCTCAGTGGTAACGTCTGTCTCTGACTGCAGCACTGGATGATGCGGGTTCGAATCTCAGAAGGGACATGAGTTGTTCCTTCAACGTAGTTGCAGATACGCCTTGCTGACTGACTGGTGAGTGCCAACTTAGCACGAAACCTAGGTCAGGCAGGGCTTCCTGTGGCCGATTGCCTCCAACTATTTAATATCATTAATAATAATAATAACGATAGTAGTAAAAATACACTTTATTGATACTTTCACTAGTTTTAGTTTTGTTCTTAACACACATGAACACATACACACACCCATTCAAGCCCACAATATTAAAACAAACTCAAAAATAAGTAGCAATAATATTTTTAATTATAAGGCAAAAATAAGTTTTGAGATACAGGATCTGAAAAGTGGTTAAACTCATAGATGATATCAAGAGTTGGTGGTGTATCACAGAAAGACACAGATAAACACACAGTGAGTGGTAGTGTGTGCGTGTGTGTGTGTGTATGAGCGACTGTAAGACACTGAGTTGTATACATCTGCTTGTTTCTCAACTAATAAATAATAATAGAGTTTAAGAAAATATAGGATTTTTTTTATAATATATATTTGTTTTGCGAATTTACTCTCTATAGATCAATTCCATTACGACGATAGAATTCACTTTCAACTAGCATAATTCGTGCATGTTTACGATCACTAATTTCAATATTTTTATTCAATCGATGGCCATAGATTGATGAAGAAAGCGATGGTACTGCTTTGGATTTCTCCTAAAATAGTAATAATAATAAAAATAATAATAATAATGACAGTAAAGACATTGAAGTAGATTAAAAACGATGCATAAATTATGATTTTATGTTATGGTTAACAAGGGTTTGATCAGGCAGTACCTAATGAACAGCTGTGCCATCCTAGTTCGAGACTCTTCAGTAGCAGTGTTCACCTATGACCCCACCCACTCACCCACCAAGGATCAAACCCAGCATATTATCAGGATACAAAGTGAGCCCGTTGATCATTCAGCTGCTGAGACGGAATCCGGTGGTTTACTCATCAATTATAACTCCTGCCGACTCACGATGTATGTAGGTAGGACGACCTCCAGTTGATGAGTTTCAAACAAGGATTAGACAGCTATCCAGTACCCCTGTACGTTTGTAATGGCTTTCTAGATGATATTACAGTTTATCATCAAAATTTGACATCTGTATTCGTTTAACAATAACAGTGAATAATTTCCATTACAGAAAGATTAAATACATGGGCAACAATGAGAGATTTTTGTTGGTATTAGATGGTTGTAGGCAATCGGCCACAGGAAGCCCTACCTGACCTAGGTTTCGTGCTAGGTGGCACTCCCCAGTCAGCAAGGTGTATTTGCAACCACATTGAAGGAACAACTCGTATCTCTTCTGAGGTTCGAACCCGCGTCACCCAGTGCTGGATTAAAGACAGACGTTTCCACTGAGCTTTTTTGGCTCGCGATTCACCTCCTGTAGAACTACTATGACTGGTTGTTAATTTACATCTCTGTTGATCATTTTTATTGACTTGTAATTCAAACTTTCTTGTCATGTTATCTACTTTTTATTAGCTACTAATTTTCATCTATAGTAGTGTGTCTGTTAATTGCTAATTCACTTGAGTATTGGGGTTCTAGAAATTCTCTGAGTTCGAATAGCTCATTGGTAACGTCTCTGACTGCAGGTGGCACTGAGTGTCACGGGTTCGAATCTCAGAAGGGACATGAGTTGTTCCTTCAAGGTAGTTGCAGATACGTCTTGCTGACTGGTGAGTGCCAACTAGCACGAAACCTAAGTCAGGTAGGGCTTCATGTGGCTGATTGCATCCAACCATCTAATACCAACAATTCATAGTGCATCGTGATGGTGAGCCATTTAGAATTCTAGCCACATTTCAAACGTGGCTGATAGAATCCAGTCTGCACCCAAAAATAGGACTAAACATATTACACTAGTTAATGATTTCTGTCCAATCATTGAGAGTTTCTAATGGATCCAAGAGATTAAGTAAAAAGACTGAATGCATCTATGTCATCAGCAACTATGCTTAGGCATATAACCAGAAGTCTGAAGCCATTGGATCCTGGAATTTGATTGACATCGGTGTCTCAAACCAGTGATAGAAGACTTCATAATTCTATACCGTGTCTCACTTTAACAACCTTTGATCCTTTTTCAACCTAGTTCAATGTTGCCTAACCTCAATATTACTCACCATATTATAGCTGTTTTACACGGGAGATGGAACACAGACGCCTATGATTTGACGGACAACTTCTGCAGGTCTTCCACTTTCAATGGCCATATCTAACAGCTATGAAAAAGGAAGGAGGAAATAGCTGTGCAGTGTATACGTCGTCTAACTGATAGTTGGATATCACATACACCCCAGAGATAACGTAATTTGGCGAATGCAAGACGAGGATTTTATATCTATGCTTTGAAGGATGCGCAAGTTGGTGGTGGTGTAGATTTGCTTCCTGGAAAAATATTTTTCGACCGCGTGTATGGAGACGTTATCGTCTTGCTCTACAACAAGATACATGCCATCAGTGTCTGTAAATATAATATATGGTTTGCGCCGCCTAAGTGTAAAGTTTTCTTACAAGATCGACAGGAGCTTGTACCTGCAGTCAGCCTCACAAATGAACCACCTGGACTTGTTGCTAACTTCATGTATCTAGGTAGCTGTGTGAGCGATGGAGCAATTGTGGCGCGCGAGACCCCTAACCATTTAATGAAATCCGGGGTGGCATATCCCAACCCAGGCCACTCTGACATGGAGTGGTAACAGTCATGTTTAGAATACTTCGGTGTGTGCAGTCTTGCTTTACGCCTGTAATATCTGGCCTCTCGGAGCTAAGGATGTACAGTGACTCTGTGTATCCGATCATTGCTGCTTCCTTAGAGTTGCTTACATCCAGAGAAGTTTAAGACTAGCTTAAACTATTGGCTACTGGGGCATATTCAACTGGATAAGCTAACACTTGAGTGATTACAAGTCATACTGTAATTAACAATCTTAATTGTCAAAAATAAAATGGTCAGCAATCAGTCAATCGATATTTCACTCACCTCTTCATATATGTTTAACCCACAATGTTTATCATGTCTACGGTCATCTCGATGCAGTTTTGGATTGAAATCATCTTCTTTTGAAAAGACTAAATCATAAACACAAGTTTTTCCGTGTGACTGAAAAAAGAAAGTAATTCACTTATTCTTTGAGAATTGTGGTCAATGAAATTAAGTATTTAAGTTCTACAAAGTTTACTACAAATTAGTGATACAAAGACAAAACAGGGAGGGGAAAACAGCAACACAGGTGTCATCAGGTGTGTTTAGCACTTTTCTGTGTTTCTTTACTGTAGATGTGAAATAATAGACAGTGTTAACGAATTTATCATAAGCAAATTATTATTATTCCCTTGGGTTCCGAGTGGAACATAGGGCTTCAACAACACATCTCCACTTCCTAGTATTCTCTGCCATCTTCTACACAGCTGGGTCCACGATTGGTCATAATTTCTTATCTCCTCCACGCAGTATCTTCTTCATGTCACCCTTGCACTGACGACCCACTCGTAGCTTCCTATTGCGTTTCCACTCAAGGGCCCAGCGGGCGATGTTATTCAACGGTTTCCTCAACGATTGCTCGATCAATCCATCTCCATTTTCTCCTACATAATTGTTTGGCGATCAGCTCTCACCTGTTGGTTTGTTCCCAGCCAGCCAGAGTTTCTTCTTGATAATTGTTTCTAGCAGGCCAGCCAGCTGGCCATTTGATCCTCAGTAAGGGGGGCCAGCCAGCGAAGGTGGCATCTACTGATAAAAGTCTGCAGTAGCCTGTTGGGAATCCTTTTCGTGACACTCAGTGTAAGTTTCTGACTCGTATAGAAGAACTGACTGACTAAACATTGGTGTTTGAAATCCGAATCTTGTTGTTTATGCTGGCTAATGACAGGCTGATGAAAGCGTATCTCGTTTTCCTATTCTGGCTGGCTGGCTGGCTTTGACATCTTCATCCGTTCTGACTGCCTGTGGTTGAAATGATGCTTCGTGGATGGGTAAATGAAGGAAGTAACCTCTGTCAAATCTCTGCGCTTCATGGTGGTTGTAGTTGTTGACTGGTTATTTTCATCACCTGTCTTCGCTGCCTATCAGCCGCTTCAGCCAATTTGTTGGTTTTTGCCTGCCTGTAAGTCTTCGAGTTTGTGTAACATTAAACATAAATCATCCACGCGCGAAATCCAGATCTTCTGGAGTTTTCTTATCAATGGTCCAACGTATTCTTGTCCTCTCACTCACTGTGCACAACCTGCCGCATAATCCAGTCCTAAGCAAATTATGCATTTAGTTGATATAAATGTAATGTATGAACCAGATTCATGTCTGAAATTCAGGAATTAACTGTGTTATTTAATATTTGGATTGTTTATCTGATCACTTCACTTCTGAGTAATCACCTGGTTTGAAATTGTGATCAAATTAAAATTTGCATATGAGCTACTTGTCTAACTTGCATAAATCTGTGCATGTGTACACGATAGCTAGTTGACCAGTGGATCTTTGATCTTTGACGCACGCCACCGCTGTGCGTTGGTGGCACAGCGGTTAGGACTCTCGCCGTACATGCACATGGTCCAGGGTTCGATCCCCTGCCGACGCACACCCGATATCAATGGTCGGCCTGCAAAATTTGGGCTACCGATATCACATGCTGAAAATTCCATACTTCTTATGAAAATACGGTGTGGAATCAAGCTATAATAAAAAAATCCAACTATCGGGTTTTGGGAGCAGCCTTCACAGAGTAGTTGTAACTCATTGGTAATTGCATGAAGATATACGTGATCACTGAGTGGTTGAATTGGATAAATAGATCAAAATAAATTTTAATCGAGGAGATTAGAGCATATGGGTATTCATTCAGCCAGTTAAAGAGGACTGCAGTGAACACAACAAGATGGAAATATGCTGTTGAAGCCCTATATTCCACCAGGAGCTCAAGGTGCAATTAACACTGATGGAATTAATCCAGTAATTTATTTTAATACAATTGATTTTCAAGAATTAATTTGTGGGGATTCTATTTGTTTCAAGTTATACCATGGATTTATATCAGTTAGAGAAGCATTGAGAACCACTACTAGAGTACTGGACAGCTATTTCATCCTAGTTTGGGACTCCGCTTCGGTAGTACGCACCCATCATCAGGGTTTGAACCCAGGACCTTCCAATTACAAGGCAAGCTCGTATACTACTCAGTCACTGAGTGCCTACAGCTGTCCAGTACTCCAGGGTTGCCAATGGTTCTCTAACTGATATCAATCCATAGTCAAACTCGAAAAACAAATCAAATCCTTTCAAATCAACTCTTGAAAATTAATCTGATGCTGGCTAGTGACTGACTGGCTGGCTGCAGGACGGAGTTGCCTGGAGTGAGTTCTAGCGAGAAGTCGTGACCAGTGGGGTCCATCCAGTCGGGAGTGAGGATGAAGTTCCCATCGATAATATTGCTTGATGGTCACGCTAAAATCACGAATTTGTAGGAGTTAGAATTCATGGATTGGCCATTGAATCAGATTCCAGTGGCTGAATGATTCGAAACCCAGTGGGTGCATACTGTCGAAGAGGAGTCCCAAACTAGGACGAAACAGCTGTCCAGTACTCCATGATTTCCAATCGTTCTCTAACTGATATGAATCCATGGTCTAGCCTGAAATTGATGCAACTGAATTCGAACTCCTTGTTGACATGAACTCATATGAAACAAATATGTAATTTTTATGACAGTGAATAAGATATACATCTTACTTGACATATGGACCCAGCTTCTGTACGTAATTTCACATGGAAGACACTGATTGAGAAGGTTTTTGTTATCTTGTCTTAACTAATTCTCATAAAAGTTACTAGTATTCGAGGTATGGAAGAAATATTTTCTTCCAACAGCGTGATTTTCAACCATCTACACAGTCGTATTTATATTACGCAATAAATGGCAATAAGTGGTCCTAAAAATGACTTGTAGTCAATACACACATATGACTAGACTAAAGATGTTTAAAGTTATGTTTAAGGGGGTAAAATTGAAGTGGATGGATGAAAAAATTTTAAAAGATTATTGATTAAATGACTCGGTGTGTGTAAAGCAGTTCAGGTGTTGTCAAAAAAATAATAAAAGTGCAATGATGATAACAACAGTAAAGAAGGCGAAAATGAAGTAAAGTGGAATGAATTCAACTAATGGAATGATAATTAACATTACTATGAACCGATGTAAGCAAAATGGGTTTAACAAAACTATTTTTGAATACATAGTTTATATTCTTGTCTATTGATACCTGGAACTTCAGTTATGCACAGGTGGAAAATACATTCACCTTTAGATTGTCTGCACTTGACCTTAAACATAGCTTTAAAGGATAAATCGTGTCTGTGACTGAATGACTTGATACAGGACAGTGTTCGTTATTCGATGACTTCGACATCCTACACTCGTCTTTCATCAACTAAACTGGGTAGTGTTCAGCTACAGGTTTCCAGAGAACACACCTACAACACATAATATAATCAGATTCACAGACACATGTAGACGATGAGATGCACAGAGACGTGGAGATGAGCAGTAGTTTATCTTTCACGCATTAGGATAAGACACACGAGCGAACAGTACTGTTTTCACTTAAATCTTCTTCAGACCTTACTCTAATTTCCATAGCTTTATATATAAGAAATTTAACCAGTGATAATAATAAAGTGTTAAATATTTTGAACGTCAGTAATAACGACGATTATAATGATAACAAAAATAGTGATAATAAGGTGGTGATAAGAATAACGAAGATAGTAATATGTGTACATGTAAACAACTCAATAAATAAATTAGGTCAAATCTTAAAAGTTACTTAATACTAAAGGTGAAGCGGAAGGTTAACCAGGCTTTATATAAATATTATAAAAGTAGGAAGGAGATGGAAAATAAGAAAGGGTGGGGGGTTTTGAATAGAATTCACCTAGGTTAAGGGAGAGACAAAGATAGAACAAACTTCTTTTGTATGCAAAGACTAGGATTGTTCTCTCAAATTCCCATAGCTTCGTCTATGTGTAAAAGGTGGGTTAGAATTCCGTTCGAAATGAGATAGGCAACTGTCAAGGCATTTCTTTTGTCTACTTGGTGACTGCTATCAATCAAATGAGACAAAACAGAACTTCTTATGGATTCTACATGGCCTTCACGCATTGACGAGTTATACTTCAGCTGGAAATGCTATGTTTAAGTCGGGGGCATACCAAGAGCGGTGAATGCATTCGGATAGACAACTTTCAATGACTACAGCAGTAGTGTCGCTTTTTAATGTCAAACTCACTAACAGTATCTTCCTCGGCACTATGTCCTGATTAGGGACTGTTCCGTTCTTTAGCATCGCTAAACTTTATTTTTCTGCAGTATGCATACAACAGCACAAACAAAGGCGTTGAAAAAAATTTTTTTCACTGAACAACACTTGTGTTTTTCCCTGTGAACAAACGAGTATTTCTCCTAATTACTCTATGTTTTATTGTATTTGATAGGATCCCACACACTTGTTATTGTTCAATTATCTTAACGACTGTTAATCTCGTATAAGTTGTATATCATCAATTCTCACACACTTTGCTATTGTCAATTATCTTAATGACTGTTAATCTCGCATATGTGTTATATTATCATTTCCCAGGCACTTTGTTATTGTTCAGTTATCTTAATGACTGTTAATCTCGCATATGTGGTATATCATCATTCCCACGCATTTTGTTATTGACTATTACGACCAATTATTTCAAATACTGTTAGCTGTCTCTATTGGTTGTAAAATTGTATAAATACCATTTCCTAAATAAGTTGTAGTCGTCGTCGTAGTCATAGTTGTTGTACTACAATACACAGTCAGAGACCAAACTTTGTCTTTTGATATTTGCGTGGTTCGCTGAATCGGAAGGTACCAGAAGCAGATAGGCATATTAGTCAGGCGCAGACAGAACAAGGCGACAACGTTCCTCATCTAATTCCGACCACAGTTACAACAAATTGGCAACGCGGTTTACCTCATTCATTGCGGTTATAACAATTGGCGACGGGGTTTACTTTCATTCATTGCCGTTATAACAATTGGCGACGGGGTTTTACTTTAATTCACTGCAGTTATAACAAGCAAGCGACGACGTGTTTTATTCTGTTCAGCGCATCTATAGAACATTTTTGACTGTGTTAATTACAACCCAATTACAATGTCTATCTCTCTGGACGATCTCAAATCCATCTTGCAGCAGCAGCAACTTCAGAATGAAGCAGCTCAACTTAAATTAATCGAAGCTCTCACTCAGAAGCTGTCAATTCAAGTTCCATCAACATCTCATTCGGACAAATACCAAAGCATCTCAAATTCCATCAGTGAATTCAACTACGACCCAATATCTGGTCTCGTATTTGATGCATGGTTCAATCGTTATGAAGACGTTTTTCGTATTGAATGCCACATGTTTGATGATGCTGCCAAAGTCCGATTGTTACTACGAAAACTTAGTACTGTTGAGCACAACAGATATGTTAACTTCATTCTGCCTAAGAACCCACGTGAGTTATCATTCGATGAGACAGTCACCGTTTTATCACAAATCTTTGGTGAACAGTCATCCATGTTTAATATTCGGTATCAATGTTTTCAGTTGACAAAAATGCCTTCCGATGATTATGTTACTTACGCTGGCAAAGTGAACAAAGAATGCGAAAGGTTCAAACCACACGAAATGACATCAGATCAGTTCAAGTGTTTGATTTTTATTTGTGGGTTGAAGAACCCTGAAGATACTGACATCAGAACTCGACTTCTGTCACTCGTGGAACAAGACCCAAAAATGACTTTACAAATGGTGACAGCAGAATGCCAACGCTTAATCAACTTGAAGCACGATACTGCTATGTTGGAGTGCAAACGACAGTCGTCTGAATTTGATTCAGTTAACACAGTGAAAAGTCCCCCGATCACCGTTAAGCACACAGCACGTCAGTCTCAGAATTCAGCTAAACCTCCTTCAGTGTGCTGGCACTGTGGTTCGTGGCATTTTGTCAAGTTCTGTCCTTTCAAGAAACATAAATGCCGTAATTGTCACCGTTTTGGACATAAAGAGGGTTACTGTCCGCCACAGAAAAATTCTTCGGTGAAGAACAGAAGTCGTCATTTCAAGCCGAAACAACCTCCTCGAATACAGACCATTTTCACAACTTCCAAAGTCGATTTCGCCAGCAAACGTAAGTATATTACACTACGCATTAACGGCAAATCTATTCGTCTTCAGTTGGATACGGCATCAGATATCACTTTAATTTCCCGAACTACGTGGCGCAAACTTGGGTGCCCACAGATTCTGCCGACCGAGCATGTCGCAAAGAATGCCTCAGGAGACATACTGAAACTCGTGGGTGAGATAAATTGCCAGGTTCAGTTTGGTGAGCAACAGTTCAATGGTGTATGTTATGTCACAAACTACCATGATTTGAATTTGCTTGGTCTTGACTGGTTAGACAAGCTCCATTTCTTCAATGTACCATTAAATTCAGTATGCTCTAATGTTTCGTCCTCACCAAATAATGTTGTTCCCGCACATGTATCTGATCAGTCTCTCTTACAACGCCTGCGTCAAAAGCACGCTTCTGTTTTCCAGGACAAACTTGGTTGCTGCAAATTCGTCAAAACCTTTAAGCGTGCTTATGCAAAAACGAAGGGGGAGGGAACAACAGAAGGAATTTTGGATAGATTCTTGCCGCATTATCGTACGACGCCAAATCCTCCCGCAGCCGAAAGCCCGGGACGCAGATCACAATCTATCCAGTACGCGAAAGTCAATTCGGCAAAGAAGAGCTCCAAAACCTTTTCAAATAGATCCAAAATGCAAGTCCTACACTTTTAACGGGGGGAGGTGATAGGATCCCACACACTTGTTATTGTTCAATTATCTTAACGACTGTTAATCTCGTATAAGTTGTATATCATCAATTCTCACACACTTTGCTATTGTCAATTATCTTAATGACTGTTAATCTCGCATATGTGTTATATTATCATTTCCCAGGCACTTTGTTATTGTTCAGTTATCTTAATGACTGTTAATCTCGCATATGTGGTATATCATCATTCCCACGCATTTTGTTATTGACTATTACGACCAATTATTTCAAATACTGTTAGCTGTCTCTATTGGTTGTAAAATTGTATAAATACCATTTCCTAAATAAGTTGTAGTCGTCGTCGTAGTCATAGTTGTTGTACTACAATACACAGTCAGAGACCAAACTTTGTCTTTTGATATTTGCGTGGTTCGCTGAATCGGAAGGTACCAGAAGCAGATAGGCATATTAGTCAGGCGCAGACAGAACAAGGCGACAACGTTCCTCATCTAATTCCGACCACAGTTACAACAAATTGGCGACGCGGTTTATCTCAATTCATTGCCATTATAACAGTATTGCCGAATATACTGTTTTGTCTTCCACATTGTCGCTACTCTTCTTCCAACACAGATGATATATCTCTAGAGAAATTCCCTGATCACGCCTTTTAGCATTTATTCTTCAATTTTTCATGATTACATGAAGTCAGACCGTTACTATTTATTTATCTATTTACTATTTATTTAAAGTTGGCTCAAAAAATAAGCATCAACTCAAGTGATAAGTTGCTTTTACTAAGGAAAAAACAGTTTTATTATGACGATACAAACAAAGTAGATGCGAAACAAATGACAATCAAACATATATCTCTAGGAAAGATTGGGTCGAAGCCAGGGATAAGAAACATCTATTAGACGTTGTCTTGATCGATCTTAGTAAAGCATTCCATAAAGTATGCCATTTAGGTCTTCTTAGTAAACTCAAACGCTTTGGATTAAACCAATGCCTATGTGAGTGGTTTAGCGACTACCCGATAGATAGAAGGCAGAAGGTGAGGTCAGAGTGGAAAGCAGCGCAAAGCGGATTACCTCAGGGAACTTTAATTGGTCCCCTGCTATTCCTATTATATGTAAATGAACTGCCGAAAATTCTTACCTCATCTTCTTTATTATTTGTGGACGATATTAAGATATGGAAAACCGTAAATAATAACGATGATAGGTTGGTACTACAAAACGATCTAGATAAACTAGCTGAATGGAGTCTGTAAATCAATTTCAAGAAATGCGCTGCAATGCATTTAGGTCAGAGGTGTTACATGTCGTACTCTCTGGGGGACACAGAACTCCCAGATGTTAGGGGACAACAAGACTTAGGAATTATTGTAAGCCATGACTTAGATGCGGCTCCATTACAATTTGCCGTTGTTTTTAAGGCTTTTCGAATGCTACGGGCACTTCGAAGGGCTTTCAAACGATTAGACGAGTGTATGTTCCAAGTACTCTATGCAGCATATGTCAGACCTCATCTAGAATACCGCATACAAGCGGTGAGTCCATGCTTCAAAAAGGAGGCACATATCCTGGAAAGAGTAAAGAGGATAGGAATAAAAACAGCTAGTGGTATCTCAAACTTTCCTTATGATAAGAGGACGGAGCAATTGAATCTCTTCCCATTATCATACTGTAGGAGGAGAGGTGACTTAATTTCGGCATACTTTATATTAAAGGGCGATTTAGGGATTGACCTTTCAAATCTTTTCTCTCCATCTAAGATACATTTACGGTGTCACCAGAAGAAGGTGCTCAAAACGAGGTCGAATAAAATACGTGTGGAATTTAGATTCTCTCACAGAGTGGTCAACGACTGGAACTCCCTAACAGACTCAGTAGTAACAGCTTTCAAAGAGAAACTAGATCTCTGCAGATATATATCGCAAGGATTAACATAGGCAACAAAAGCCTTCTATCCTTATAATCTGAATCTGAAATCTGACCATACAAACAGAATAGATGTGAAACACATGACAATCAAACATACAACTCCACCTTTTAAAATTGAAACAAACATTTTGATAGCTGCTTGTGGATAAAAGAACAACATTCATTTGAAGGTTAATCACAAACTTGTTTTTAATATAGAAGTCATGAGATAGCTGAGTTTTGAGTGAATGTATAGCATTCTTCCTAATGATTACTTGCAAATTTAATAAATCTGACTGCGAATTATTTTACATTTACAACTTATTACTTTAGTGGATTATAATATTGACTTCATATCACATATACAGACTAACTATGCAGGTTCTTGGTTATTCTATGAGCCTAACATTACTGTACAAGTTTATGAGTGTTTAGCTTTTATGCTAGTGTGTATTACTCAAAAATTAAAGCTACTAGCGCCTTTTGAAGTATTGTAGTATTTCATAGTGAGTTAAAATAAGAGGCACGCTCTAAAATCAATGAAACTCTTTTTAGTGGAATACACCGAATATAAATCTTCAGAAAAATACTGCATTGTATTTTGATAGTGCACAAATTCAATCTAACACCCAAATGAAGTGATTCTGGAAAATTTTAGGGGTATACCCCTAATATTTTTCAAAATTCACCCAATTACAATCATTTTGCATCAGTCCAGCTTATTACTTTTCCTACCATTTGTTCAAAATTTCACCATTTTCACTCAGGATTTTAACATTCATCCCACACTTTTGTTCAACTGGGTATTTTGAAGTATTTTAGGCCTTTTGGAAAAGTTGCAGAAAAAAATTAGGAGAAACTGCACTAATTTTGGGAAAATCTAAATATTCAAGGGTTATAATTTTGAGGAATTCCCTATATAGGGATTAACGTCATAAATTATCCGAAATACCAAATATAGCCCTAAAAAGTTTTAATCAGGATCTGTGAACACAAAGGCTTATTCCATGTCTTCAGAAAACTTAAGATATATACATTTATAAACTTGTTCATTGAAGTGGACATACACGTAATGTTGATCACTATGGTGAATTATGAAAACAAAACATACTATTTGATTGATACAGGTCATTCTTAAGATTTACTTAACGTAATGTAGATGTACTGACCATAAAATACGACAACAGTAACAATAGCATTGAAGGATTTACCTTTTCTGGAGAATTAAAGTAGGTTCTTTCCCTTGGTAAATTTCGAGATTTAGGAACATGGGAAAATGCGGACAAAGAACATGGATGTCCTTCTAAATGAAATGTCTCTCCATGGCTTACAACATCAATGGTAAGAAAGTTATTATCGGTCGTCATGATTTCAAAAGAAACTGTTTATTATACGAATTTAAACAAAATACATATACAAATTTATTTGATGCATAAAAGTAGTGTTTATGTAATAAATACGCTAGTTAATAAATTGTGTATTATATTTATTGACATTTCATGACATATCATCAGTACTGTTAAAGTTCTCTTGAGTTTACTTTTTACAGACCTAGGTCTTTGGACACGGGTTAAATAAGGTAAAGCACAAATTTAGTTTTTGTAGCGGAATTCTATAACCTTCATTTTCTTCTTCAAGTTTTACCAGCATGTTAAAATCGACTGCCTGGCAGGTTAATGAACAGTTCAGCTGAACGATAGGCGGACAATGAACTACTGTTTGCTAAGAAATTGACGAAAATGTAGGGGATTTAATTCCATGTTAAACAACTAAAAGCCTGAAACCAATTTGACAAACGGCTTTAAGGATCAGAAAGGAAGTCAATGCAGAATCCATACCTTGCGATTTTCTAAGCTGCATAGCTCTCAGGAACATATAGGCATTACTGACACTCGTTTATATGTACGTGGCCTAGAATTGTTTGCAACAATAAGCATAGAGTTACCTCTCTAATGGATGCACCGGGTGCTATCCATGAAATGCAAAAGAAGTCAAAATGTGAAACATTAAGCTGTTGATTGTCCCCTCTAGTCACAGCAAATAGTAATAAATAACGGAAAACATTTTTCTAAGTTCCACGCAGGTTCGAAAGTATTTATATAAAATTTTGGCCCACCTGGTTCCTGAGTGACAGGATTAATAGGAAAGGAGTATTTATTTAATCGAAAGCTCTGCTAGGAAATGTGAGAATACCTTCAGGACATTCGGTTTTCGGGTGGTGAAACCCACGTAAGCATTAATACATTAAAATAGTGTGAGGATAGATAAAGTCCCTGGCTGTAAAGGTTGTGAAATAGCCATGTTCGCTTGTGATGACATTGGGATTGTATGGACGGTTACAGATGCATGCGCAATTGGAACACGTTAAACTGTCAGCTGAAAAGTAGTACAAAAACTACCACCTCCCTACTTAAGGAGCTAATGACTTTTGGTTAAGCAACTTGCATCAGCTGTACACAAGAAACCTGTGCCTGACAAACAGTAGCTAGCTCTCTCCACCCCTTCGTCAGCAGCACACAACTAATGACTGTCATGACTGCTTTAAGAGTGAGCAGTGGAAATAAGGGATGCACGGGTATCAGGGTGGTATTACCTAAGGTATGCGACGTCCACAATTAAATTGGTATTCGTACTTAAAGAGCACTTTACAAGTGCTGTTGGATGACTTCCGCTTTTCACAAACAGTGATTTCCTAGTTGTTCATTTTTAAGCCAAAGCTTATTCTTGCACTCATTTCCATACGAACATTTGCTGCGCAGATACATCGAAACCCAGGCATCTATCAGCTTACGCTGACTGGTCTGCTAGTACAGGCTCCAAGAGATTTAGGAATACATTCGATTGTGCTCAATCTTATTTAATGCTTTTGTTGATTCAATGGAATGCATAATTTATGTGCACATCCAGACAAATAGGTTATTTAGGAGAAGGAAAAGCTTATTTAATCAGGTGTTTAGGTTGGGGTGTTGAATAACCCGGAGCTTTAGCAGGACTGTCATTGTGAGACGTCTAAAATGATGTGAAAGGTATTCACTTCAGGGTTGTCTACACTTTCAGGTTGAATTCACGAAAACGAGACGGGACCAGGACAAATAATGGCATGTCTAACCTTAGCGGTAGTATGGGTAGGACAGACGGATTATAGGCAGGAAGCCTGAGTGAAACCTCTGAAAGTGAATTCGGCCATGTGTTGACTTATGTAAATGTCCCACAGACACTGGCATACCACAAACTGATTCTGTCCTGGCACTATGTGAATTGGTGTCCAGACTCCTCACCGACTTATGGCATTGTTAGTCAGAAAGGCAATCTCATCTAACATCACTGATACAAGATTTCCGAAAACGTTCAAAGCATATGTAACCCAGGCTAGATCGCTTGTGGACCGTAATAATGCATTTGTGCGCACTGTTTTCAATTATAGCATCGGAGAAAGAAAGTTTGTTTGTCATTTGTTTAGATTGATATGTATTTTCATAAGAGCACTGAAAAAAGAGTCACGATGAAGAACAAAGCTTGCTGGCTGCAGTTTTCTCCATTAGCTGTATGTCACAAAACAAATTTGGTTGTAATCACAAAAAACTAGATACATGAAGGAACTATAAGCTTCTGTTTTATGTAGTTTATATGTAAAGCAATTAGCCGAGAAACCCTTAGGTATGGAAAGAGATACTATTCTTTTCCACAAGTACTTCTCGTCCCGTAGCACCTAAATGTTATTGCCGTAACATCTTCAATATATTGCATGGCTTATCCAAACCAGGTATTCGAAATACCGTCAAGCTAGTAACTAGTGGTTATTGTTGGCCTGGAATTAATAAAGAAGTAAGGGAATCGGCACACACGTGCTTAGCTTGCCAAAAATGCAAGGAAGTAAGACACACCAAAAACCCTCTTGGCATCTTTCTTCTCCCTGACGCTCGTTTGGAACACGTTCATATAGATTTCGTTGGATCCCTTCTAGAATCTCATGGATATACCTATGTCTTAACCTGTACCGACAGTTTCTCACGATGGCCTGAAGCAGTACCCCTCAAGGATGTATATGCTGAAACAGTTGCACGCGTCTTTGTCGAACGATAGATCGCCAACTTTGGATGTCCATGCTCCATAGCAACTGATCGCAGGCGGAAATTCGAAAGCCGCTAATTCTTCGCCAAAATCATAGGTTGTATGCGTTTTAGAACAACAGCTTACCATCCTCGAGCTATTGGTACGGTAGAAAATCTGCATCAACAGTTGAAAGCTGGGTTATCAGCTGCAAACAATGCACATTGGACTGAATCACTACCGTTAAATCTCCTAGGGATACGAAACGCCTTGAAAGCTGACGCTGGTTGTACTGCTGTCGAGCTAGTATATGGCGCAACACTACGACTGCCAGGTGAGTTTGTTTCTCCCTTTGGCTTCCCACCAGCAGTAGATCAAGCCTCATACTTCAGCAGGCTTACAAACGCAATGCGTTCAGTTAAACCTGGCCACCTTCGACCACAGTCCATAGACGTCTTTGTTCACCTGTGTTTGAAAACTTCTCCACGTGTACTTGTTCGTCGTGACTCTGTGCGTCGCCCTCTGGAACCTCCATACGACGGACCATATAAAGTCACCAAACGTATGGATTCATTCTTTGTCTTGGACAAAAAATCGGCGAAGACACAGTTAGCATCGACCGCTTGAAACTGGCCTACTTAGAAGACAATCCTATTAGCCTAGAACTGAACATTCCCAATAAACAAGTAACCGAAGTCCTTTAATCCCCGAAAAAATCACTAGCATGGTGAAAGCCACCGAACCTTCTGTCGAGCCTTCAAAGGAAACGCGTTCTGGACGAAACGTGAGATTCCCTAATAGCCCTCAAATGACTGATATAACTATTGGAGAAATACTAGAGCATGCAGCTACGCTGGACTTTGACTACAAAGTAGTCTGTGGCGATTTCAACTTACCTGGAGTAAACTGGGATACCTGTACAGGACCTAGAATCCATGACGAGTTACTACAAGCTATAGACGTAGGCGGATGGAAGCAGTCCGTACGCCTCCCTACAAGAAATGAAAACACTCTTGACTTAATCCTTTGTCATGAAATAGAGCCCATCTCGATAGAGGTAGGAAATAAACTTGATAACAGTGATCACAACATATTGTACTGCACGCTACCCCTCCGACTAACAACTAAACACACACCTAAAAATTCCCCGGTGCACTATCAGTATAGGGACTATAAGAATGCCGATTGGGAATTCCTATCAGATCTGCTGAGAAGTTCTGACTGGGAAGAATACTTCATCAACAATAACTTAGAAGTATCACTTGATATTTTCTACAAAACAATTGGCTCAGCAAGAGACATAATCGCGCCCCTAAAATCTGCTCTAAAGACACCAACTCCATTTATAGACCGCAAAACGCGACTAAAACTAAAGAAATTGAAAAGGAAATACCATGTATTTAAGGAATTTAATGCGTTAAACCAAATACTTGAAACTCTTAAACGGCTTGAAGAGAAACACAAAATGAGGTCACAACTTGAAGAAAATAAAGCGCTTATGGGCAACTCCAAAACTCAGGAACTTTGTAGGATATTGCAGAAACGTCTAAAAAGCAGTAAAGACAATACTGTAAGTAGCTTGGAACATAAGGGTATAATATACAATGATCCCCAGGTTATAAGTGAACTCCTCAATGAGTGGTTTTGCAATGACGTCAGAGTGCACCCGACCCAAAATTTCCAAATGACCTGCAAAAGTAACCACAAATTAGGCGAAATAGACTTTAATATACAGAATATAGACTCAGCGACTAAGACTTTGAAGTCTAATGGTAGTACTGGAACAGATGACATACCATCTGTCATGTACAAAAATGGTAGCACGGAAATGGTAGTCTTGTTACTTAGAATATTTACTCTCTCGTTGGAAACTGGAACTTATCCTGAAGTGTGGAAAACCACATACATATTACCTAAGCACAAAGCAGGGGCCAAAACCAGTGTATGCAACTATCGACCTATCAATATAACACCGGTAATATCCAGAATAATGGAGAAAGTGGTTAAAGACCAAGTGTCAGACAACTTACTAGAACATGAACTTATCAATCCATCACAACACGGATTTCTTAAAAAAAAGATCATGTGTGACCTGTCACATAGACTTTTTCAATGAAGTTACACGAAGTAGGGACAACAGAGAACTAGTAATTGTACTATATTTCGATATAACAAAAGCCTCCGACCGAGTTCCCCATAATCCGCTAGTCAGCAGGTTATGCTCACTAGGGATATGTGATCCTCTCCTGAGCTGGATAAAATCATTTCTGTGTGGCCGAAGTCAGGCAACGAAAGTTGGCTCGATAATCTCAAGGCCTCAACCAGTAAGTAGTGGTGTAATCCAGGGAAGTGTATTAGG